CCATGGGACAAGCCAAGCTTTGCAGACGCTCCCTGGAAGCGGGGAGGGTCCCCAGGTGGGCCATGGAGCAGTTCCCAGTGGGGCCCTGCAGCAGAGCCAAAAGCAGCCACTGGGTTTAAGACTGGGCAGGAGGGAAGACAAGTGTCCTCTGGCTGGGAAAAGGGACCTGGTGGAGGGAGAGGCACGTGGGATGCAGCAGGGACTAGGCTATGGAGCAGGGGTCTGGCAGCGAGCAGCACCCACAGGGCACAGCCAGCAGCACAGAGTGTCCTGGCAGGGCAGTCCAACTCCAGAGGGGTCCTCACAGGCTGAGGAAGTCCTCCTTCCGGTACCCCTTCTGCAAGGAGACAGCCCCCATCAGGCATGGCAGTGGGTATGCAAACAGACCCACTCTGCTCCAGCACCCACAGGCCACACAAGCCCCATGCAGGGCACAGGGCTGTCCCCACCTTCGGCACAGGAACAATGCCCTAGGATGTTCCCATGCCTGAGGAGGGGCAGGCATGGAGTGGGGACACACATTTGGGTGGTGTGGCTCTCTGGGGTGAATCCCCTGGCCCTGACTCCCTCAGGATTCCCCTCTCAGATCCCACCTAGGATTCTGATGGCTGGAGGGGGCTACATACCATTTTGAAGTCCCGATGGAGCTTGGTGTACTGCCACATGTTTCCCAGAAGACTAGCAGCAGCCCGGGAGGACTTCTCATTGTCCGAGCTGGGACAGGGACAGGATGCAATGAGTGTTGGGGACTGCTCGGCATGAACAATGCTAACCACTCCAAGGAGACCACTCTGGTGGGACTTGGGGCAGGAGGGAAAAGGCTGGAGCCCACCATAGTGGGCAGGAGGGAGGAGAAGCATCCCAATGGGAAAAGGTGGCTGCAGTGACGGTAGGGATGTCCTGATGGGGTGGCAATGGGCTGGCAGGTGGCTATGAGGCCACTCTGAGCCAGTCTGGGGACTTTCAACATGAAGCCTTGGGAAGAGACACTGGATGTGATCCCCTCCCACCATGCTGGACTGGGGGAGAAAGGGGAGAGCAGGACAGGAGCCCAAGTGTTAGCTGGGACAGCCAAGCAGACAGAGAACTCCCACCTGTCCCGTCGCTTCTTGATGAAGAAAAGCTTCCTGAGGCCATCAAAGTAGACAATGTCACGGGCAGCCATGGGACTTTCCACCACCAGGTTGTTGAGGACCGCAATGATGTTCACGATGACATCAGCGGGCGGTGCCTTGTCCCCAGCGCTCCCAGGCAGCTTTTCAATCAGGTGGCTGACCACCTTGGTGGCTGTGGGCAAAGGGCACATCAAGGCTGGTGGTAGGGGACACACAGCAGCCCATAAGGGCAAGGAAGGGACAGAGGGTCCAGCCGAGGACCTGCACAGTAGCACCAGGGATGTCTTTAAGCCCTTTGCTCTCTGGAGTCTCTGCTGAGACTCTGAAACTCAGAAGAGGAGTTGGGAGGCAAAGACAAAGGCCAGTGATGTGGGGGTGTGAGAGGCAGTGCACGGAGTGGGTGTCTAGGGATGGGGGATGGACTGGGCCCCACACT